ATATATATATATATAAATCTTTCGAAAGTCGACGACCTTTCCAGAATTGTAAGTTCACAACCTCTATCAACACAGTTTTATATATAGAAGAAGGCAATGCAATACGTTGTAAACCTATTATAGCAGCATCTGCATTCTCGTTACTTTGCTGTAAGAGTAAGTTTTAGCTGCGTAAACTGGACACCAAGAAGCATAAACTGACAACGTCACACCCAGAATTAGTACAAACGTTTTTAGAATCATTAAACGGTTTCATTCGAAAGGAGCCTGGTTTGGAAAGTCTGCCAAGGAAACATCTACGTGACAAAATTCATTCATTGCACTGCCATCGGCATCTTCGGAAAAAATACCACAAAGTCTACCGACTGATTTGAGGCCGAATCGAGAAAGAGGATACCTGCTGTTGATGAAAAACTTGCAGCTTTGTTATCTCATCACCAAACAAGTACATCATTCGAGCTCTCAGAGATGCCAGAAACAAAGTACAGAGGACTGCTACACATTGCGCAACCAACTCGAAATCAGCCACAGGCAACATCAAAGGAATGTACGCTGGCATTAAGAAAGCCTTGGTCCAAAAACGGTGCGCCTATAACCGGCAAAAGCAAACAACTTAAGGAATGGGCAGAGCATCATTCTGAGAGCTCTATTCAGTTGGAAATAGCGTTCTTAGTTTAGCACTTGACGTTGTACTTGTTGTAGTTGTAGAGCCAACTCTAGAGGAACTTAGCAAAGCAATTGACAGCTTTGCTAGTGGAAAAGCTCCCATGGAAATGATGGGATTCCACTTTTTGTTTAGAATCCGAATTTAGAATCCGAATTTATATGGCACCTTTCACATTCCGGAGAATATACCAAGCCGCTGCATCAGTATTTCCATGGTAACTGGGTACTTAATTGGCAAACCAGTACATTTTTGTGCAACCTTATCTGCTCCTTGGGAAGTATCCCTAGTCAAGCTGCTTTGCACGCACAACCGCATACGTTCAATGCCATACCATCCTACCAGATACAAATTTATACTCCTGGGTGGAGAGAGGCAAACGTAAAAAGTACCTTGTCCAAAAACACAAGCAAGGAAACGCGTCGGTCTCGAACACCCGATTTCACGATCAGAAGTCCAAAACCTTACACTCTGCGCCATATGCCCTTGAAATGTAAAGAATCCCTTCTGCGACCCCTGTATTCTGTCAGCATTAGGAGGAGAAATAAGCTGCACCTCAAAACATGAAAGGAACTAATATCATCAAGTTCTATACAAAAACAAACGTGATAATTACAGGGTAATCTCTCATCGCAGCATTTCGGGAAAGTTGTTTGCTCGTGTGCTAATAGACCACAAAAGCTAGCAGAGCGTGTACCGTATACCAAGATTGAGTGCGCCTTTAGAACAAAATTGTCAACTGTGGATATGATATGATGATACTATGAAAATCAAAACTGTTCAGCCATTTAGGGATTCTAATTTAAAAGAATATGGAAAGTGGATTCAAAAGCAGACTTGGGCCAATGTCTATGATGCTACTGACGTTTAATCCAAGGCTGACGCTTACTATCAAACTATCAGTTTTTTCAGCAATTGGGCGCAATTAATCAACCAAAGACAGAAAGCGTTTGCCAAAGGGCACAAAGATAAATGGAATGAAATTAAAAACAGAGTTATTAGAGAGATCAAAAAGGCTAAAATTTCACATAATATTAATAGAGTAAGAAAACTAAAAAAAAAACTGAACAAGGCCGGTGGCACAAGGAGGTCAGGTACCTGGCGAATTTGAAAAATCCTGATGATGACATAATTAATGTCGAAATATTGAATTCCAACACGATGGCGTCTATCAGTTTTGGTGTGAATAAGTTTTTTCCAACTAAAAATATTAAATTACATTCAACGGACAAACCATGGATGTCAGACCGTATTAAGAGTTTAATCAACCAAAGACAGAAAGCGTTTGCCAAAGGGCACAAAGATAAATGGAATGAAATTAAAAACAGTTATTAGAGAGATCAAAAAGGCTAAAATTTCACATAATATTAATAGAGTAAGAAAACTAAAAAAAAAACTGAACCAGGCCGGTGGCACAAGGAGGTCAGGTACCTGGCGAATTTGAAAAAATCTGAAACTGTTACTCATGTCTCGAATATTGAACCTACTAATCATGTGGGATTTGCAGATGCGATTAACCATCACTTGGTTATTGCATCTAATTCTCAGCAACCATTAAAACTCACTGAACTCCCAGCATACTTGCCCTGCTTGTTGCCGCCCCATCAGATTCAACCATGGCAGATTCTTAATGACATCAGTAAACTATCTGTTTGCAAAGCAGGAAGTCCTGATGGGCTGCCACCACGATTGTTAAAAGAGGTGGCGTACGAGTTAAGTCAACCAGTGACTAACATTATAAATATTTCACTCTCTCAAAGCAAAGTACCCCAACCAATGGAAGGAAGTCAATGTAATACCGATACCTAAACAAAATCCTCCGACAATAGACAAGTTGCGCCCAATTTCACTAACCCCGTGCCTCGCTAAAATTGCTGAAGGTCGAGTTTGCAAATGGATAGTTAATGCAATTAATTCGCAGATTGATCATAAACATAAACCGCAAAGGCTTATCCACCATCCACTGTCTTATTGATATGTATCATCATTTGATTTCGGGTGCAGAAAAATAGAAAAATGTTAGCACACTTGTGCTAACCGATTTTACGAAAGCTTTCGAGTTAGTTGACCACAAAATCACTGTCTCAAAATTACTCGAACTAGGTGCGCCTCCGTCACTAGTACAGTGGGTGGTGGACTTCCTTTCCAAAAGAAAACAAAGGGTTAAATATAATAATACTTTTTCTGATTGGATTGAACTAAATGGTGGGGTACCTAAAGGTACTATTATTGGTCCTATTGCTTTTTTTAGCTTTGATTAATGATGCTCTTTTAAATACAAATAACAATCAAGTAAAGGTTTGCAAATATGTAGATGATCTCACAATTGGGGGAAATAAGACCATTGGAGATCTCTCGGCAATGCAAGAAAATTTAGACTCGCTTCTTGAGTGGTCGATTAGGAATAAATTAAAACAAAACCCCACCAAATTTTTAACTATGTTCATCAATTTCAGTAGGCAAAATACTCCAATTGGTGATTTACAATTTTAAGTTATATTACTGGGTGTAATAATCCAAAATTATTTAAAATGGCAAAGCCAGATTGATAATATTTGCAGTAAAGCTAATGGCAAAATGTTCATGCTTCGTAAGCTTAGAAGGGTGGGTCTTAACAAATTGGAACTTCTATCTGTCTATAAGTGATATGTAAGACCGTTGTTGGAGTATGCTGCCCCTTTGTGGCATGCAGGTCTTACTCAGGGACAGGTGAACCAGGTCGAAAACATCCAGAAGCGTGTCTGCAAGATCATTTTAGGCAGTGGGTATAGATCTTACTCACATTCCCTTGTAACACTTGATCTAGAACCTCTTCATACTAGAAGATAGCAGTTGTGCAAGGTGTTTGCCTTAAAAACACACGACTCGGGTAGATTCTCTGCCTGGTTCCTTGCCCCTCAGTACAGATCCTGTATGACCCTTAGAAAACCCCTAAGATTAAATATTACAGAAGCAAAACCAAACGATTCCAAGCTAGTCCGATCCCATTTTTGGCTGACATAATAAACAAAAGTTAATTCTAATTCCCCCCCCCCCCCGTTG